GAGTCCTCCTTTCTTCAGGACCCACTCCTGGAGTTTCCCCTCCAGAAAGTCCCTTTCCTAGGAGAACCCACTTTTCCCAGGGTACTTGCCCCAGAATCCCCGTTTACAAAATCTCTTGAGTCCCCTCTTCAAATCTACCTTTCCCCAGAATTGTTTTTCTTTTTGTTTATTTAATTATTTGGCACTAGGGATTGGGCTCAGGATGCTTTACCACTGAGCTGTATCCCCAGCCCTGTTTGTTTATTTTTTAAATTCTAAAGCAAGTTCTCGCTAAGTTGCATAGGGCTTCGCTAAATTGCTTAGGGCTTTGCTAAATTGATGAGTCTGGCTTAGAGTTTGGGATCCTCTGGCCTGAGACTGCCTCACCCTTGAGTCGCTGGAATTACGAATTACAGATGTGTGTCATTATGCCCAGCCTTCTCCAGAATTTCTAACCCTTTGGAGTCTCCTTTCCCCAAAAGATGTTTCCCTGATAATTTTTTCCCATATAATGCCCCTGTTCAGGATCTCTAGAATCTCCCTTTCTCTAGAATTCTCCACGTAATCTCTTTACTCCCCAAAGTCAGCCCTGTCCTCACAGAATTCTCCATCATTAGTCCATCTGAGAAACCCCAGGATTGGTTGTCTCCTCCCTCCCACACAGACTTACCCCCATTATTTATTTTTTAGTGCTGAGGATTAAATCCATGGGTGCTTTACCACTGAGCCACATCCCCAACTCTTTTTTGGAAATTGGGTCTCTTTAGGTTGCTCAGGGCCTAAATTGCTGAGGTTGGCCCTGAACCTGCAAAGGGATAGAGGGAACTCACAGTTGCCTCAGTTTCTCTGGCAGTACAGGGTCTGGTGTCCAAGGTTCAAAGGAGCAATGGCTTACCTTGCCACAGAGGGTGGAGTTGGTGAAGTCTGGAGAGCAGGGCTGGCCCAGAGTGAGATTCTCCAGCCCAGAGTTTGTTGTTGTTGTTGTTGTTGTTTTGTGTGTGTGTGGGTGGGGGGTGCTGGGGATGGAACTTACAGAGTATTTCTCTTAAAGGATGAGAGGGAGAGGGGCTGGAAAAAGGAAGAAAGAGGGCACCAGAGACATTCCTGGAGGGACAAACAAGACAGAGACAATACAAGAGAAAAGCAGACTCAGGGGCTTGGGGTCATAGTCAGTGCTTGCCTATCATGCGCAAAAACCATGGGTTTGAACCCACAACCCTGAAAATAAAAAAGTGGGTGTGCTGACACATTCTTGTAGTAATCCCAGGAACTTGGGAGACTGAGGCAGGAGGATTGCAAATTCAAAGCCAGACTCAGCACTTTGTGAAGCCCTGCGCAACTTAGTGAGATCCTGTCTCAAAATAGAAAATAATGGGGGCGCTGGGGTTGTGGCTCAGCGTAGAGCACTCACCTAACATATATGAGGCACCAGGTTCAATCCTCAGCACCAATATAAATAAATAAAATAAAGGTATTGTGTCCACCTGCAACTGAAAAAAAATTAAAAAAAAAATTAAAATATATGGCTCAGTGGTAGAGCACTTGCTTGCCTAGCATGTGTGAGGCACTGGATTCAATTCTCAGCACCACATAAAAATAAGTAAATAAATAAAAAATAAAAGGGGTGGGGACGTAGCTAAGTGGTTAAGTGCCTTTAAGTTCAATCCCCAGTGCCAAAAACAGAGAGAGAGAGAAACAAATGTAGAGAAAAAAAGATGAAGGAAACAAGGGAGAGGAGGAGAAAAATTGAGTCAGAGATGGATCCAGAAAGTACCAGCCCAGAAGCTGAGATTCAGAAACAGGCCAATCCTCAGAGAAAGAGAGAAATACAGGCAGGCATGAAGATTCTCCACTACTTGAGACAAATATAAAAAACAAGAGCAGAGGCTGGGGATGTGGCTCAAGCGGTAGCGCGCTCGCCTGGCATGCGTGCGGCCCGGGTTCCATCCTCAGCACCACATACAAACAAAGATGTGTCCGCCGAAAACTGAAAAATAAATATTAAAATTCTCATTCTCCTCTCTCTCTCTCTCTCTTAAAAAAAAAAAAAAAAAACACAAGAGCAGAGCCCTAATGTGTATCTGCAAACAAAAATAAGGTGCAGCACAGATGTTTTCCAATAACGGCACAGACCACAGAATGTACACTCTGAGCCAGAAGTGGTGGCGCACTTGTAATCCCAGCAGCTCAGGAGGCTGAGGCAGGAGGTTCAAGAATTCAAAGCCAGCCTCAGCAGATTAGCGAGGTACATAGCAACTCAGCAAGACCCTCTCTCTAAATAAAATCTAAAAAAGAGCTGGGATATGGCTCAGTGGTGAGGCATCCATGGGTTCAATCCCTGGTACCAAAAAAAAAAAAAAAAGACTCAGGAGGCTGAAACAGGAGAACCAATCACCAGTTCAAAGCCAGCCCCAGCAGTTTAGGGAAATCCCTAAACAATTTAGCAAGATCCTATCTCAAAAACAATGTAACCTGGCACAGAGGTGTACATCTGTGATCCCAGTGACTTGGGAGGCTGAGGCAGGAGGAGTTCAGGTTCAGGGCCAACCTCAGCAATTTAGGCCCTGAGCAACTTAAAGAGACCCAGTCTCCAAAAAAGAGCTGGGGATGTGGTTCGGTGGTAAAGCACCCATGGGTTCAATCCTCAGCATTAAAAAAATAAATAAAATGCAAATTCTACTACCTTTGGAGCCAAAAGGGATGGGAGGGGGTGTTCAAACTCCCCAGGCTCTAAGCATAATCCTCACACTTTGCTCTCTGAGCTTGGCAGTCCAGGGCCTTCTCCTCTGTGGTCACCACCTTCCCCAGCCTCTTGGAGCACATTCCTTGAATATCTGTGGCTTCAGTGAAGCTAGCAGGGGAAGGCTCAGGGGCAGTTCTCCTCATCCACTCCAGTCTTCCAGCCCCAATCACTTTTTACCCCCAGATGATCTTTTGGTGAGTACTTCAATCACTCCTTCCTGAAACTGGATAGTTAGGGAGAATCCACCGGGCTTTGTGACAGGGCACACATGCCTGGGGAAGGAGAACTGGTGTCCTAGCTGTTAAGCTCCTGACCCATCCCTGACCCCACCTTAACAGATATATTTTTTTCACTGCTGTCTGCAGTACGTAGAACAGTGACTGATATATAATAACAAATAATGATAGTGGTGATTACAACTACATTAGATAGTGCTTACTCTGCCAGCTGCTGGTCTATGTGCTTTAAGCGTATTAGCTTATCTATTCTTCACATCAATCTTATGATGTAGACAGGCCCACTATCTATGGATGTGAGGGTTGTACACTGCACAAGGATCCCACATCTATGAGGACAGTATTTACTTCTTGAACATTGTAGACTGCATATTTGTTCACTTCCAGCAGATGGCAGTAAAGAATCTCCTTCTAATAAATTTATCACTTAGAATTATCTTAAAGTGTGTCTTTTATTTTATTTTTTATTTTTTAAGAGACAGAGTCTAGGGATGGGGATGTGGCTCAAGTGGTAGCACGCTCGCCTGGCATGTGTGCGGCCCGGGTTTGATCCTCAGCACCACATACAAACAAAGATGTTGTGTCCGCCAATAACTAAAAAATAAATATTAAAATTAAAAAAAAAAAAAAGAGAGTCTATGTTGCTCAAACTGGTCTTGAACTACTGAGCTGGAGTGATCCCTCTGCCTTGATCTCCCAAATAGATGGGACTACATACAGGTCCTAAGGTACAATGTTATTAGGGTGGGGATTATTTGGAGCCCAATTTGCAAAGGGTTTTTGATTTGTGGCCTGTGAGAAGCCCCTTTAACTTCTCTGGGCTTAGTTTCTTCATGCTGAGGCATGAGGATGGCAAGTTCCAGACCAATTTCATCCATTTAAGAAGACCCTATCTCAAAATAAAAAATAAAAAGGACTGGGGATGTAGCTCAGTGGTAAAGTGCTCCTGGGTTCAATCCCCAGTACCCAAAACAAACATAAAGCAAGCAGAACAACAACAAAGTTATGTAAACTTGGTGAGCTGGCACACACGTGTAATTCCAGGTATTAGGAGACTGAGGCAGGAGTATGGCAAATTCAAGGCCAACCTGGGCAATTTAGCTAGATCCTATCAAAAAAAGGGTGGGGGGCGGGTATGGTGATGCTCCTTAGAGGCAAGAGGATCACAAGTTCAAAGCCAGGCTCAGCAAAAGCAAGAGGCTTGGCAACTCAGTGAGACCCTGTTTCTAAATAAAATATTTAAAAAGTGTGGGGGGGGAGGGGGGCTGGGATGTGGCTCAAAGGCGGGGGTAGGCGAGTGGGGTGAAGACGTGGCTTAAGGACAGAGCAGTTGCTCAGTATATACTGGGCCCTGGACTCAACCCCCAGAGCCTTAAAAAAAAAAAAAAAAGTTTTCTTCTCAACTGAATCCAGGTGTTTGAACCTTGCTTCTGTGAGAAATTTTAGTCATGTGTTACAAAAGCGTCTGAGTTTTAAAAATCCTCCAACTGGTTATTTTGCATTTCTCCCCGGTACTTATCCTCTTTGCCATCAGGCTGACGCGTCATTACTATTACATAAATTAATGCTGAAATAAATTTTGGGAGACCCCAAAGAAAATCAGGGATCTGAGCGCAAATACAACACGCTTGTGATCCTAGCGACTCAGGCTGTTGGAACGAGAGGATCGCAAGGTCAGCCTGGGCAATCTAAAAAAAAAAAAAGAAAAAGGACTGGGATGTGGCTCAGTGGTAAAGTGCCATTGGGTTCAATCCACAGTAACACAAAACTGAAACTTTAGGGTCCCCCAAACTTGGGGAGAAATCTTGAGTCGGCTGCTTCTCATTTAATTTTTCTGAGCATGTTTCCGCTTCTGTAAAATGGGAGTAGCGATCTCGTAAGGATGTTTTAGAGAGTCTATAAGATAATGAGTAAGCCGCTCACTAAATTCAAGTACGAATTCGAGCTACACAAAGTTGGATCCCGACGTGGAAAACTCTCATTCTTGACCCTCCCAAGATGTCGGCTCCACCGGCTGCTTAAGATAATCCTGTCACTCTCAAGATGGCGGCCTGGAAGTGCGTCGCCCGAGGCCAGCCTCGGAAATCTCGCGTTAGGCGAGGCCAACGGGTAGGTTATCGCGAGAGGATTCATCAGTCCTAGCTAGGCGTCGTGTGAACAGCAGCTGGTACAGAAGGCGGAGGTGGAACCGAAGCGGTAAGGGGGACTTCAGAGGTGGTAGGCCTTGGGACTGGTGGAGATCGGAAAGTTGTAGAGACCTGATGGGAAGACTCGGGGTGTGTTAGAAGGTGGCATAGGGACATTCCCCACTCTGGTTCCCGATTGCCAAATCGAGGCTGCCGGAAGTGCGCCAAGGGATTTTTCTTCTCCCAAAGAACTAGCGGGGAAACTGAGGCTGAGGGTGGAGCTTGGGAATTTTGGATGCTCTGAGCCGGGGGTCTTTCCCTACAGGAGCAGAAGATGTCGGACAGCGAAGACAGCAACTTCTCCGAGGAGGAGGACAGTGAGCGCAGCAGTGACGGCGAGGAGGCCGAGGTCTGTGGCTGGGGCGCTCGGGGAGGTATTACCCTGGGGATAGGACGCGGGGTGGGCAGAAAGGCACCTTTGGAAGCCCAGGGACACTCAGAACCTACTGCAGCTTCTGGGGGCTTCCAGATTGTCCGCAGATATAGCAAAATAAGCAAGTAGACGTCAAGCAGAGGGAGAGGTTCTGGAGGCCTGGGGTGTGCCGGGTGCAGTGAGATAAAAGGTGATGTGTCTAAAGGACCTGGTTGTTTTTATGCCCCGTCATCACAAAAATGTATTTGTAGTACCTACATTGCTAGGCACAATTCTTTGCTCTTAGGCTACACCAGTAAACAAAACAGATTTTTAAGTGGTACTAAGCATAAATAATAAGTAAATGTATGTTCGTTCATGTAAATAAGTATAAATGATTAAACTATGTACAGATTGAATATTACTAGTCTGAAAATCCGAAATGTTCCAAAATCTGAACCTGTTCCTTTTTTGGGGGCGGGGGCGGGGGCGGCACTGAGTGGTGTTGGGGGGGATTGAACCCAAGGGCTTGTACATGCTAAACAATTATTCTACCACTGAGCTATATCCCCAATCCCCAAATCTGAAACTTTTTAATACCAATATGATGCCACAAGTGGAACATTCCATACCTGACTTCATGTGACAGATTGAAATAAAAAAAATCAGTCCACAAAAATATTATATAAAATTATTTCAGGCTGCTGAGTATAAAGTATATATAATATAAATGAATTCCTGCTTACACTTGGATTACATCCCCAATGTATGTGCAAATATTTTATGTATGTGCAAATATTCCAAAATTTTAAAAACTTTGAAGTTTTCTGGTTCCAAGTGTTTTGGATAAAGAATACTGTGCCTGTGTTAAGCTAGAAGGTGCTTGTGAGAAAAGCAGAGGAGAGAAAGGAAATAGGAAGTCCTGCTTGCACTGGAATAGGGTGATCAGAATAAGTCTGAGAGGGTAATATTTGAAGGAAGACTTGGAGGTGAGGGAGTAAGTCTTGTGGAAATCTGGAGGAAGAGTTTTCAGTAAGAGGGATCATCACATGCAAAGTTCGGAATGTGTCTGCCCTATCCAAGGAGTAACAAGAATAAGGGGTCTGGTGTGGCTGAATCAGAGCAAGTGTAACACACAAGTAACAGGAAGAAGACACATAGGATTTATTATTATTATTAAGAAAACAGGTTTATTTTAAGTTTATGGTTCTTGTCTGAGGTCTAATGGCCTTCCTGCTAGCAGATTCCAGGTGGTACATCAGATCTCACAGCAAGAGAAAGGAAGTTTGCGTGTATATATGCATATAGAATCTTGAAGGCTATGGTGAGAAATCTGGCCTTAACTGAGAGGGAACCAAAAGCAAAGGAGGGAAATGTCCTTAGATTTTGGAGAAAGATCACTTTGGTTTTGGGTCTGTTGACTGTCTCTGTTTTAGGAACCCAGACCAAACATTATCTGGGACATTTCTGATTTCAAGTATTCTTTTTTTTAACTACTAATTTTTTTTTTTTATTTCTTTTTTAGTTGTTGAACACATAAACAAATGCCTGAGTGTCTACTGCTGTGTTCTAATACATTTCCAGGTCAGGCAGACAGTAGAGCAAGACAAATCTTTGCTTTTGTGGAATTCACATTTAGCAGACAGGAGTCAAAACCAGTGAACAAAGACATGACAAGATGATTAGAGATTATGTTTGGTGTTTGTTTTTTGGCACTGGGCATTGAACACAGAATGTTTTACCACTGAGCTACATCCTCAGGGTCATTTTTGTTTTTTATTTTGAGACAGGATCTTAGTAAGTTGCTGAGGCTGGTGTCAAATTTGTGATCCTCCTCCCTAGCCCCCTGAGTCACTGGGATTACAGGCGTGCCACCATGCCCAGCTAGGTTTTTTTTTTCTCCCTTCTTTCAATATGGGGAATTGGATCAAGGGGGAGTCTACCACTGAGGTTCATCCACACCCTTAATATTTATTTATTTTTTTGGTACCAGGGATTGAACTCAGGGGTACTCGACCACTGAGCCACATCCCCAGCATTATTTTATATTTTATTTAGAGACAGGGTCACACTGAGTTTCTTAGCAGCTTTTTGCTGAGGCTGACTTTGAACTTGTGATTTTCCTGTCTCAGTCTCCTGAACCGCTAGGATTACAGGCCTGCACCACTGTGCCCAGCCCTTAATATTGTGTCTGTGTGTGTGGTTTTTTTTTTGTATGTTTTTTTTTTTAATTTTACTTTTTTGGCACCAGGGATTGAACTCAGGGCCACTCGACCACATCCCCAGCCTTATTTTGTATTTTATTTAGAGACAGTGTCTCATTGAGTTGCTTAGTGCCTTGCTGTTGCTGAGGCTGGCTTTGAACTCATGATCCTTCTGCCTCAGCCTCTTGAGCCGAGCCACTGGAATTACAGGTGTGTGCCACTGGGCCCAGCTTTATATACATATATATATTTTTAACCTGTATTTTATTTATTTGTTTGTATGTATGTGGTGCTAAGGATAGAACCCAGTGCCTCACACATGCATGGCAAACACTCTACCTACTGAGCTACAACCCCAGCCCCTTAATATTCATTTTTTTAAAATTTTTTTTCCACTTTTTTAAAAAAAATATTTCTTAGTTGTTGATGGACCTTTATTTTATTTGTACGTGGTGCTGAGAATCGAACCCAGTGCCTCACACATGCTAGGCAAGTGCACTACCACTGAGCCACAACCCCAACTCCTTTTTCCACATTTTTAATTGGTGCATTATAGTTGTGCATATTGATTATTTTAATTTGGGGGGGGTGCTGGGGATTCAACCCAGGGCCTTGTGCATGCGAGGCAAGCACTCTACCAATTGAGCTATATACCCAGTCCTTGCCAAGTCCTTAAACTTATGGTTCTCCTGCTCAGTTTCCTGGGTCTCTGGGATATAGGCATGGACCACTAAGCCTAGCTAGATGACTTATTTGATGTGCAAAGACTTAAATTTACTTTAAACAAAAAAGGTTTTATTTACTTTTGTAGCACTGGGGATTGAACGCAGGGTCTAGTGCATGCTAGACAGATACTCTTCCCCTGAACTATATCCCCAGCCCTCACCAAGATGCCCAGGCTGGCCTCAAACTTTTGATTTTCTTGCTTCAGTTTCCTGAGTAGCTGGAATTATGGTGTGTGCCACTGCACCTGGCTTTTATGGGCATTTGATTGTCAGTTCTTGTCCCTTTTAGGACCTCTTCTGCTTCCAGCCAGGAGTTGGAGGTACTGGGATGCCTTGGAGGGGTAGGGCTAGCGGAAGGATGACAGGAAAGGTCTTTGCACCAAGCTGTAGCACTGGGTCCTTGGCCTGTGACTCATGGCTTCAAGTCACTGCTTGGTGGTTAAAGACTGGTGATAATCAGACCAGGATGATCCCTAGTTCCTTTTTCTTCTGGGACGTTCTGCTTTGCACTGTGTAAGTCTCACTTTCTAGCAACATAATAGAATTTTTTCCCCTCCACTTATTATTTTTAGAGTTTTGTAGTTATGCATAATAGTGGAGTTTGATGTATTCATAAGTGCATATAACCTGATTTGCTCCATTTTAGTCCCCTGTACTACCCTTGCCCTTCCCTCCTCCCTCTCTCTGATCCCCTCCTTCTGCTCTATTGGTCTCCTTCTATTTGTGCATTTTTTAGTTGATACATTAGAGTTTTACATAAAATTGGGACACATTGTGATATTGATATATGCACCCAGTATAATTTGGTCAACTTCATTCCCCAGTTCTTCCTCTTTCTCTCCCTGTCCTCCTTTATCCTTGGTCCCCTGTTTCTCTACTCATACTATGCTCTTTAGTCACTTGTGGACTCGGCTGTCTCCAAGTGAGGCAGAAGGGCAGTGTGAGGCCTACCCCATTGCCAGAGATAGGGCTGGATGGGCTTTTCTGGTGGCCAGATGTTGACATAGGCCTAGAACGAAAGGGTTCTTTGTGTAGATGTGCCAGGAAGGCAAATAATGAGCACTGCTGGGGAATCAGCTGGCTTCGTACCCACAACCCCAGAAACCTGGAGTTCTTAGTGTGAGCCCTCATAGAGCTGTCAGTCCTAGGGAGTTTTTTTGCTTTTTTTTTTTTTGTTCTTTCTGGGTTTTGAACCTGGGGCACTCAACCACTGAGCCACATCCCCAGCCCTCACAGGGTCTCACTGAGTTGCTTAGCACCTCGCTGCTTTTGCTGAGGCTGGCTTTGAACTTGCAATTCTTGTGCCTCAGCCTCCCGACCCGTTGAGATTATAGGCCTGTGCCACCGTGCCTGGGAGTCCGGGGAAGTTATTACAGGTGCTGTTGAGGACTGCGTAAGAGCCTGCTTGAGCCCTGAGATTACAGAGACATGTAGTATGGGGAGCTCTAACCTCAGGTAGGGATGAAAAGTGTGTTAAAAGGTTTCTATAGGGCCCAGCAAAGGGGAATGATAACAGAATTCTTCCAAATCAGGCTGTGGTCCTTTACAGCTTGGGTCATTCAAATGGAGATTAAGCCAGGCACAGTGGCACATGTACTGCTCTCAGGATGCTGAGGCAGGAGGATTATTTGAGCTTAGGAAGTCAGGCCAGCCTGGGTAACATAGTGATAGCCTGTCTGGGGCCGCGGAGGTGGTGGGGGAGGGCAAAACGCCTTGGGCTGGTTAGCTGGCATTGTGTATTAAGCACATCCCAAGATTGTAGGATGTGTTCTAGGTCAGGAGTGATAAGAAGTGCTTTTAGATGGGATGAGGGTTAGAATCACATAATGAGAAACTTCCTTTTCAGCTGTGTCATTCTTCTGTGCCCAGCCCAGCAGTGGGCCGGGTGATTCTGAGGGAACCGGTGGTGCCCGAGAGAGCTTGTGCCCTGGTGTCTGGGAGCTCTCAGTGTTCAGGGCTATATGGAGGAAGACCAGAGGATGCTCCTGGCTTTTCCTAGGGGAGAGGAGGCAGTGACAGCTGCCTGGAAAGGGGGAGGGGGGGGGAGAGAGAGAGAGAGAGAGAGTGTGTGTGTGTGTTTCTGGGGATTGAATCCAGAGCATCACACATGCTAGGCGAGTGCTCTACCACTGAGCTGCATCTCCTGCCAGAAAAGGGAGTGTTTGAAGTATAAGTGGGAGATAGAGGAGAGAACTTTTTATTTCATTTTTGTATTTATTTGGTATTGGGGTTTGAACCCAAGAGCACTTTACCACTGAGCTACATCTCTTGCCCCCCCCTTTTAAAAATTTATTTAATTTTATTCATTTATTATTATTATTTTTAAAGAGAGAAAGAATTTTTCAATATTTATTTTTCAGTTCTTGGTGGACACAATATCTTTGTTTTATTTTTATGTGGTGCTGAGGATCAAACTCAGCGCCCTGCACATGCCAGGCGAGTGCGCTACCACTTGAGCCACATCCCCAGCCCCTCATTTATTATTTTTGAGGCAGGGTCTCACTGAATTGCTAAGGCTGACCTTGAGTTTGGAATCTTCCTGCATCAGCCTCCCCAGTTGCTAGGATTATAGATATGTAACACCATGCCCTGCTCTTCTTTGTATTTTTTAATTTGAGACAGGGTCTTGCTGGGTTGCAAAGGTGTCCCTGAAGTACTGAGTCAGGCCTCAAACTTGTGATCCTCCTGCCTAAGCTTCCCAAGTTGCTGAGTTTACAGGCATATGCCACCATGCCCGGCTATTTTATTTTTCACAGTGCTAGGAATTGACCCAGGGTCTTGTATGACAGGCAAGCATTCCATCACTGGGCCCTAACCCTAGCCTGAGAACAACTTTTTATGCAGAGTACTGGTAAGGATGATGGCTAGAGCAGAGAGCCTGGTATAGGGGTTCTGTGTGTAGCTCTCTGGTAGAGTGTTTGATTAGCATGCACAGGGACCTGAGATTGGACCCCAGCACCAAAATAAAGGAAAAAAAACAAGCAAACAAACCTGAATGATAGAGGAACAAGTGTTCAGTGCAGCTGAGACCTAGTGGGGAAAGAAGAGGTCAGGCAGTGGCAGGGTGTACACTTCCAGGTCACCTCAGATCCATGTTTTAGATCATAGTTTCCCAAGATTGAAGGATGTGTTCCAGCTCAGGAGTGATGAGAGGTTCTTTTAGGTGGGATGAGGTTAGATCTTAAGCTGTATTGAATCACATAATGAGAGATTTCCTTTTCAGCTGTTTATTCTGTCTTTTTGATGGAATCATGGAAAAGTTTAATTTGGGTGCTGCTGCGTCCTGAACACCTGAGATTTGTTGGCCTGTGTGTTTATCAGGCTTAGGCTTAGAGCCTGTAGCAGTCCCTATGTGCTGGACTCAACAATAACAACCTTGTTTGGCTTTTATCTTTATGGTTACTTTCTAGTTAAAACAAGCTTTCAAAAACCTTTTAATTGTGAAACATTTCAAAACATGGACAAATCTTTCTTTTTTCTTTTTCTTTTTTTGTTTTTTTGGGTCTTTTTTTTTGCTAATGGTCATATCTAGGACCTTGTTTGTCCTTCACAGAAATGCTGTCTCACTGAGCCACATACCCAGCCCAGAAATATTTCACTTAATTACAAATGTGAGTGGGCCGGCAAGAGGGTGCACACCTGTAATCCCAACAGTTTGGGAGACTGAGGCAGGAGGATCACAAGTTTGAGGCCAGCCTGAGCAGCCAAGTGAGATCCTGTCTCAAAATTTGGGGGAAAAAAAATTTAAAAAAAGGCTGGCAATGTAGTTCAGTGTTCCTGGTTTAATCCCTAATACTGCCAAGAAAAAAAAAAAAAAAGTAAAAAGGTGAGTGAATTTGAAGGAAATATTAAATAAATGGGTTGTAATAGTGATATGGTCATGAAAGGAGACGTTGTAAACTTATTGAAGTAAAGATTAAGTTTGGGAAACATAGTTTAGTATTTTGTAAGAGTTAATTTTGTGACTGATTTGGGAAGAGGGATTAGAGGCCCGGAGACCAGGAGGAATCCAGGGCAGGGACCCAGGGCTAGAGTATAGTGCGGTGGCTTACCTGTCAGGATGTGGGGTTAGGGAAAAGGGATGGACTGGAGAGATGACAGTTACAGGCAGCAGAAAGGACAAGGATCTGGTGCTTGAGGAGAACTAGAGGAGGTCAAGTTTAAGAGAAGACACTGAGGTCAGTGTGGGACCTCCTGTGTTTGAACTCTGGGAGGCATGGAAAAGGCACTGGAATGTGGGGGGCGGGGGGCTCCCTAGTTGTAAAAAAAAAAAAAAAGTGGGAGATAAGAGAGGTGAGGAGAGGGAAGGTGGAATGGAAGGTATGACAGAGAAGCCAGATGGGCCCTGCCCTGACCCCTGGTGTTCAAAGCAGCCCATGGGGAGTGGGGAGTGAGCAGAGTGAGAGGAGCAGCACAGTTAGAGCAAACTGGGACTGCACCATTTGCGGGAGCCAAGGGAGGAGTGTCATCCTTGGGGATGGTGTGGCTAGTGGTGCCAGGTGCAGTTGGGGTGGCTACAGGTAAGGTCCACCAGAAGTCCATGCAGTTAGTGTTGGGTTAGTGAGCAGGAGCCTGGGGAGTAGTGTGTACCAGAGACGGCTCCTGGAGTCATTGTCAGAGCTGCTCACCTGAGCCAAGGTCTGGATAAGATAGCTCAGGGGGGTTGTAGGATGGACAGAGATGAGGACCACGGACTGAGTCCTCATCCCTGGGTTCCAACCCCAGCACCACCAAATACATACATACATACGTACTATATATTCTAGTCTAGTAAGAGGAGACTTTTTGTTTGTTGCTTTGATCCTTGGTGTGTGGCTCTTGATGGCCAGGTGGAGGATGAGCAGGGGTTCTAAGGAGGGAATAGTGAGGGCCAGCTGCCAGGGGTGGATTGGGAGCCTGGTGACGCCGTCAGAGTTAGGGTGGTAATCAAAGGCCTGCCCAGAGGGGGAGGATGTAGAGGCGGAGCTGAGGGGCTAGGATTGGCCTGGCAGGTCTAAGGTCAGGTTTTGGGGAGAGGTAGCTTGATTTTTAGATTTGAGATGGTAGAACCCTGGCACCCCAATTCTACCTGACTCCTGCAGGTAGAGGAAGAGCGGCGGAGTGCAGCAGGCAGTGAGAAGGAAGAGGAGCAGGAGGAGGAAGAGGAGGAAGAAGAGGAGGAGGAATATGATGAAGAGGAGGAAGAAGAAGATGATGACCGTCCCCCCAAGAAACCCCGCCATGGTGGCTTCATTCTGGATGAAGCTGGTATGTCATGGGACTCGGCGAGCACTGAGCAGAGCCCAAGGAACAAACCTGCCTGGGGACATAAAGACACGAGGACATGGGAACACCTTTAGCTCCGTTTCTGGGGTTTTTTAGTTGTATGTGGTAGGACACAATATCTTTTTTTAATTTATTTTTATGTGGTGCTGAGGATCGAACCCAGGGCCTCACACGTGCTAGGCCAGCGCTCTACCGCGGAGCCACAACCCCAGTCTGCTGGACATACTTTTAAAAACATTTTGGGGCTAGAAGTGTAGTTCACTGGTATAGCATGTGCTTAGCATTTACCAGGCCCTGGGTTTGATTCTTAGCACCATCAACGGTAAAAGTGAAATTGTATATATTAGTTTTCTCTTGGTAGGAAGAAGAGACTTTTTTGCTTGCTTACTTTGATTTTTTCTATGTGTAAGTTTCCCCCGCTGTGGTACTGGGGATTGAACTCACGGTGCTCTACCAGTGAGCTACATCCCCAGCTCTTTTTAGGTTTTATTTTGAGACAGGGTCTTGCTAAGTTCCTGAGGTTGGTCTCAAACTTGGGATTCTCCTGCCTCAGCCTCCTAAATAGCTAGGGTTATAGGCATGTGCCACCACACCCTGCCGATTCTATTTTTTAAAGGGGATATGTGGGTGGGGTAGAGGGTTGACGTTTAGACGGGTGGGTCTGTGCATTGCACCTGACTCTCCTGTAGCAGCTCCACGGTGTGGCCTGGCCTCTCAGAGCCAGTGTCCTGCTCTGTAGAATGGAGATTCCTAGATCCCATGTCCCAGAGGAAACGCTTCATTGCTGAGAGCTGTTGTCATGAGGTCACCTTTGCCCCAACTGTCCCCCTGACTGTTTTGCCTTCCACTTTCAGATGTTGACGACGAGTATGAGGATGAGGACCAGTGGGAGGACGGAGCTGAAGACATCCTGGAGAAAGGTGTGTGTGGGCCCTGCCTCTGCGAGGCGGTGGGAGGGCTCTGCCCAAGAGGGTCTTCCAAGGCCTTCTCCCACCCCATGCCCTGTACCACCCCAACCCCTATCCTCTTCACCTTGCTTCTTTCTGTCCTTGCCAGAGAGACCAGCTCCCCACCCTTTTCCTTTTAGGCCCATGAGTGGGGGGTTGGGATTATGGGGTGGTGGGGATTGTGGGGAGAGGACTCTGGGACCCCAGGGCCCCAGTGAATCCCTTCTGTGGGTTGTTGGGTGGGCAAGATACCCCCCACTTCCTGGGCCAGTGCCCCCTGTTCCCTGTTATTTTCGTTCTGTGCGCCTCATACATTCCGGCTTCTCCCACCACCTGGTGCCTGGCCTTTACTTTTGATTTTCAACCTTCTCGTGTCCCTCCTTTCCCCTCCCCCAACCCATTGGTTGATTTTGCTGCTATAATTTGGCTCATACTTTGTCTGCCCTCGCCCACCACCACCACCACCACCACCACCACCACCACCACCTCCTCCTCTTCCTCCAAGTAGAAGAGATTGAAGGTAAGAACCTGGAAAGTGTGATTTGTGACCCTCTCCCATAGCCTGATGTTTCTGCCTTCCGACAGCATCCTGCCCTCAGCCCTTGACCCTGTCTGGCTTGGGGGCTCTGACTCATGTAGAGTCCAAAGTCAGGGAGTTCTAGAGCTAGGTCTCCAGCCCCGGTTAATCTGGGAATGTGTGTTGGATTTCTGTACGTGACTGAGCGTTGTGGGTGGCACAGATGCAAGGTGTGGGATGAAGTCAGGGTGTGTTTAGACCGTGGCTGTGAGAGGGGGACTGTTCAATGTGCCCCAACAGCTGGGCCCTGTCCCCAAGCCTTTGTGGTGAAATGATGAGAAAGAGCATAGCGGGTGAGGGCTGGGGGTTCCTCAGGAGGTGTCTTCCTGCCCCAGCTCAGGCTCTGGCTCCCTTCGCCCCCCGCACATGCTCCAGGCCCTGCTCTCCACCCTTCCTTACCCTGTCTACATATTTGTTTCCAGCCTCCAACATTGATAATGTTGTCCTGGATGAAGACCGTTCTGGAGCCCGCCGCCTACAAAACCTGTGGAGGTGAGCAAGGGGGGGAACTGGGGTGGGGCTGGCTCTCTTGGGAAAATTTGGGAGCAAGTCAGCCCACCCTCTCCTCCCTTGCCTTCAGTTCATGTTTGCTTTCCTCCTCGTCCCCAGGGACCAGCGAGAAGAAGAACTGGGCGAGTATTACATGAAGAAATACGCCAAGTCATCTGTGGGAGAGACGTAAGGGCAGGGTGGGGAGAGGTGGCCCCACGAGGGAAGAGGGAGGACCTCACAGATCTTCACCCCTCCTCCCTGACACCCATCTCTCCCCAGGGTGTATGGAGGGTCTGATGAGCTCTCAGATGACATCACCCAGCAGCAGCTGCTCCCAGGAGTCAAGTAAGGGGGTGGCACGAGACAGAAAGTCTGAAGTGGGAATGTGGTATGGGGTGATGGTGCCCAATGGGTCACTTGCTGGAGTAAGTTGGGACAGACGCAATGGCAGGAGGCAGGGGAGGGCCAGTTGGAGCTCTCTTCTGTGTATAGATGAGAGAGGGGAGAACCCTGGAGAGGGGGAAGAAGCGGGGCTGTGGTGAGCTCAGTGTTTCTTGGTGAGGACAGAGTTCCTCTAAAGGGTTTCCTTTTCCCTCTGCCACCTAGGGATCCCAATCTGTGGACAGTCAAATGCAAGGTGCGTGCACTGGCTCTGGGACTCGGGGAAGTCAGAATGGAGAGACTGCTTGTCAGGGAGACTGTGTGTCTGTTCTGGGTCTCCTCGGTCTTTGGGTTTCCTGGTGCTTCTGTCTACTCGTCCATCCTTCTCCAGTGTGTGCCCATGCCCCCACCCTCCCCGCCCCATTCACTCCTTACTCCCTCCCTCCCTCCCTCCCTCCCTCCCCATCTCCTGCCTTGCCTTTCTTGATGCCCATCCCTCTCAGTCTCTCATTCCTCATTCTCTCCTGCTTATCTTTGTGCCCCACTGACTGTCCTTTTGGTTGCTGTCCTGCCCACTTTTTCCATGTTCTACCCTCCGTCTTGCCAGCTCTTCCAGATCTGTCTCTCTTCTTCCAGATTGGAGAGGAGCGAGCCACAGCCATCTCCCTGATGCGCAAGTTCATTGCCTACCAATTCACAGACACGGTAAGTGGGGTAGTCAGGAGCCTTGGGGATGAAGGACAGGCCAAACTCAGAAGGATGTTATAGGTTTCAAGGGCACCAAATGTCCCTGGATTTAGGCAGAGCTGTTTGCTGTTGAACTGCGGCAAGACTGGAGAGCTCTTCTGCACCTCGCAGAGCTTTGTCTTTGTTCTTTGCATTTCTTATGAAACCCCACAGCTCCTGTAATTCTTTGGAGGTCTGTCAGCTATCTTCCTGTGCCTTCTGCAAGAGACCGAGTTTTGCCTGGTGATCAACCCTGTGGGGCAGCTGTCATCCTCTTACAGTTGAAGAGGGTGTCACAGGACAGGGGAGCTTGGCTAAGTCCATGAGGGACCTGGGGGCTTGGGGCTTGTTCAGAAAATTCCCTCCTTGACTCATTCACATAGTCCCCACATACAGAGCCCTTCCTCAGTGCTTGTCCCTGCTCTGGGTGATGCTGAGGGTACAGTGGCCACTGTGCCAGAGCTAGTCTTTGCCCCACCTTCCATGTTCACTCACAGCATGAAAAACAAGCAGTAATGTCATGGCCCGTCAGACAGCAAGTGATGCTTTGAGAACCTAGATCTTTTGGCAGACTGCCAGGGTCTGAATCCTCTCCTGCCACTTCTATCTGTGTGACTCGATTAAGCTTCTTGCCTCTCTGGGCCTTTTGCTTACCTTTTAGCATCGTTAGGATTAAATGACCTGGGACATGTCCAGCTCTTGGCCAGGGCTTAACTTGCAGCTTGTTTTCAGTAAGCATAGTTGTTAACAAAGGCGCACATTTGGCAATTTGGAACCAACCCTCCAAAATCTGTGAAACTAGTGCAGGTGTGCTGGCGGATAGTTTTCTTAGTAGTGTTCCTGTTAGTCTAAGGAACTTTTTTTTTCTTTTTTTGGTACTAGGGATTTAATCCAGGAGAGCACTTTACCACTGAGCTACACCCCCAGTCTTTATATGTTTTATTTTAAGACAGGGTTTTACTAAGGTGTGGGGGCCTCAAACCTGTAATCTTCCTGGCTCAGCCTCCTGACTCACATTATAAGCCACGTGCCACTGCACTCAGTCTGAGTCTTGCTTTGATCTGCTAAAGTGATCACTGTTGAATAGTAGGGACATGATTTGCAAATTATGATTTGTAATATGTTCAAACCTTCCTACCTCATATCCAGGGCTGAAATACTAGTAACCTCATTTGAGTTATGACTCTGATAACTCAACTTGTTTTTGTTTTTAATGTCCAAAGTAATAAAAGCCCAAAGTCCCATTTCTCAGAAGCAATTCCTATTGGCTTTTGTGTTTTCTGGTCCATCTTCTGTGCATGTTCAAAGGTAATGTCTTTTTTTTCCCCCCTGTAATCAGGATGGTATTATATGCTTGTCATTCTATAGCCAGACCCTTGTCATTCTATAACCAGCCCGTTTTATTTAATTTAATTAATTTATTTATTTTTAAAATATCTTTATTTTATTTACTTATTGTTATGTAGTGCTGAGGATCGAACCCAGGGCCTTGCACGTGCTAGGCGAGCGTTTTACCGCTGAGCCACAACCCCAGCCCCCGTTTTATTTTTTTAATCTTCTAAAATTGGGGAGGTTTTGTCCATGTTTTTCATCAGTATATTAACATATAATATATAAACATGCACATGATATAACAATATATTTTGGTCAGAATCATTCCCTACTTTCCCTTCCCTCCTCTCGTCCTTCCCCCTGAGTTCAATCCCCAGTACCAAAAAAAGAAAAAAAAGTGTTCCTTCTTCTCCACATCCTCTTTGGCATTTATTATTGTTTGTATTCTTGATTAGCCAGACTTGTCATATCTGTCATGTCAGTGCCATATCTTGTCATATCAATGTCATATCTGTCTTTCCACACTCGGGAAACAAGTTTTTTTTCAACGTCTGCATGAGCTTCCATTGTATAGATGGACTGTTCTTTATTTACCCACTATCTCAATAATGGACAGGTTTTCTTTATCTGGATTTTTATTTTTTATTATTTATTTATTTTGATGCTGGGAATTGAACCCAGGGACACTTTGCTACCGAGCCACATCTTCAGCCCTTTTTTATTTTTTATTTTGAGACGGCCTCACTAAGTTGCTGAGGCTAGCCTTGAACTTGTGATCCATATGCCTGACCTCTTCCCTCACATTTTTTTTTTTTTTTTTCCCTTGGTAGTGGGGATTGAACTCGGGCGGAGTGGCCTCAACTCTTACACCTGGCCTCTTGCCCCATATATGTATTTTTTTGTACTGGAGGCATTCAACCACTGAGCCAAATCCCCAGCTCTGTTTTTTATTTTATTTAGAGACAGGGTCTCACTGAGTTGCTTAGGGCCTCCCCATTGCTGAGGCTGGCTTTGAACTCTGGTGATCCTTCTGTCTCAGCTTCCTAAACTATTGGGATTACAGGCGTGCACCACTGTGCCTGGCTTCTTCCCTAAGTTTTAACTTTTCTAAATAGTACTGGACAGTTGGGACATGTTTTTTTCTTTCCCTATTGGGTTTTAGAAAAGATTTGCATGTTAGTATAAAGTTCTACATTATTCTTTCTGAGTGGGTAGATTTCATGATAGGGACACATCTTTGATATATTTAATTTCTTATCAGTAATGTATAGGATGATTCTGCTTTTGGGCTATCATAGTGAACATCTTGTTTTTCACCTAACACTGTCTCTTGAACATTTTTTCATATTGAATAGAGCTGTGTCAATCTTTGTAAGGCTTTGTAATTAATTGGCTGGATCTTGGTCATGACTTGCTTAAATAATCTCTTTTGTTGAACACTTGGGTGGTTTCTACTTTTCACCATCACAACCAATGCTGAAGCAATCTAGTTGCATTTTTAAAAAATGAGATATAATTAATACATCATAAAATTTACTCTTTTTTTAAAAAATATTTTTTAGTGGTATATGGACACAATATCTTTATTTTTATATGGTGCTGCGGATCAAACCCAGGGCCTCACACATGCAAGACAAACGCTCTACCACTGAGCCACAACCCCAGCCCCAAAATTCACTCTTTTAAACTGTAAAATTCTGTGGTTTTTAATATATTTCAACATACTCAGTATGTTCACAACCATGAACACTGTTTAATTCCAGAACATTGCCATTTCTCCAAATAACCCATACCCATTAGTAGTCACTTCCTGTTCCATAGTCCTGGGTAACCATTAATCTATTTTATGTTTCTATGGATTTGACACAGTTCAGGGTATTTTATATAAATGGAATAACATGATATATGATCTCTTTATGACTCACCTTACCTTTACATAATATTTTCAAGGTTTAACCATGTTGTAGCATATATCAGATTTCATTAGTTTTGTTCTTTAGTGTTTTATTTGGTGCGGGGGCAGGGAGCGTGTTAGGGATGGAACCCAAGGCCTCAGACTTGCTGGGCAAGTGTTCTACCACTGAGCTATATTCCTAATCCCCTCTCTTTTTAGATTTTTTTTTTTTTTTTTTTTAGTTGTCAATGGATCTTTTATTTATTTACATGCAGTGCTGAGGATCAAACACAGGGCCTCACACATGCCAGGCAAGCGCTCTACCACTGAGCCACAACCCCAGCCCTTTTTCAATATTTTGAGACAGGGTCTAGCTAAGTTGTCCAGGTTGGCCTTGAACTTACTATCCTCCTGCCTCACTCAGCCTCCCAAATTGCTGGGATTGTATGCCACTGTACTCAGTTCCTTGTTTGTTTAAGTACTATATTATATTTCATTGTATAGCCAAGCTATAATTTAATCAATCTTTTGGGGCATTTTAAAAATTTCCAGTCTTGAAGCTGGGGCTGTGGTCCAGTGGTAGAGCGCTTGCCTAGCATGTGTGAGGCCCTGGGTTCAATTCTCAGCACCAAATATAAACAAATAAATAAATAAAAGTCCATCAATAACTAATAAAAATATTTTTAAAAAAGATGGCCTTTAAAAATAAATAAATAAATAGGCGAAAATTTCCAGTCTTGGTTATTTGTTGTAATAAATAACTCTAGGGCTGGGAAAGCATCTCAGTGGTAAAGTACTTGTCTAGGGTACATGAGGCCCTGGGTTCTATCCCTAGCACTACAAAAAATAAAATCTCAAATTTTTAACAATAGTCCTACAAAAAAAATAACTGAAAGTTTAAAAAATAGGTAGGCTGGGTATAGTAATGATACTTATTATCCCAGGAGCTTGGGATGCTGAAGCTGGAGGATCATAAGTTTAAGGCTAGTCTGGACAATTTGGCAAGCAAGATCTTGTCTCAAAAATTTAAAAATATACATATAAATAAAAAGGACTTGGGAGATAGCTCGATGCTAAAAGCACTCCTGGGTTCAATCCCCAGTCTCCCACCCTCCCCCAGAAAATCGCACAGCTAGGTATGGTGGCATGTGCCTGTAATTCTAGCTCTTCAAGAGGCTGAGTTAGTAGGATCACAAGTTTAAAGGCCAGCTTGGGCAATTTAGTGAGACCCTGTCTCAAACAGGGTTGGTAATGTAGCTCAGTGATCAGTACTGGATTCAGTACTAGTACTGCAAAAAATGAATGGATGGATGGGTGAATGAATGAATAAATAATACAAAAATATGCTGGGCACAGTGGCACATACCTGTAATCCCAGCAACTAAAGAGGCTGAGGCAGGAGATTCGGAAGTTCAAAGTCAGCCTCAACAACTTAGCAAGATCCTATCTCAAAATAAAAAGGACTAGGGGTGTGTCTTAGTGGTTAAGCACCCCTGAGTTATCCCTGGTATCAAAAATAAATTAATTAATTAAAAAAATTCTTCACTGAAGGCCCTAAGTTCTATTCCCAGCACCAAAACAAAAGTTAAGATTTATTAAAAATAAACAATAGCAGTGAATATCCTTGTATCTATGACATTGTGCCAACACAAGTCTGGGGTTAGTTTCCTAGAAGAGAGCCTGTGGAGTTGTAGTCATTACTGCCACTGGCATTTGTACTTGACCGTCAACTTCTACCTGCTCCCTATAGCCCCTGCAGATCAAGTCAGTGGTGGCACCAGAGCACGTAAAGGGCTATATCTACGTGGAAGCCTACAAGCAGACCCATGTGAAGCAGGCCATCGAGGGTGTGGGCAACCTGAGGCTCGGCTACTGGAACCAACAGATGGTGCCCATTAAGGAGATGACCGATGTGCTCAAAGTGGTGAAGGAGGTGGCCAACCTGAAGCCGAAGTCCTGGGTCCGCCTCAAGCGAGGCATCTATAAGGATGACATTGCTCAGGTGCTGTGAGTTGGGGCAGCCAAGGGGGCTTCTCTGATCTATCCTCTCCTGTCCTTTGTCCTTCCCACCCCCATTTGGCGTGCAGAGAGTATAGAGTCCTGCTTAGGTTAGAGGGACGCAGAGCCTTCGGTTCTGTTCTGAGCACTCAGGAGATGGGTAGCCGTCTCTGGCACTTTCAAAGGTGTGTGAGTAAAGATCTGAAGGGAGCGAGCAGTGAGCTGTGGAGAGAGTGTGGTGGGCAGAAGGGGTAGCACTCAAGATGGTCCCTGGCTGAAGCAGAGGAGGTGCTCAGGGAGGTGCTGAGGCCTGGCGGTCAGGGGTAGGCCTAGGCTTCACTTGGAGTAAGATGGGAAGGTGATGAGGGACATGGTCTGATTTATGTTTTAATAGAATCATTTTGACTCTGTTGAGACTAGTTCACTCTTCTTAGGCTGGGGCGCTGTTGTTCCCAGGAGCTATTTGGCAGTTTCTGGAGATATTTTTTAGTTACCTGGGGAGAGATTGACCCTAGTATCTAGGAAACAGAAGTCATGGATGCTGATGGCATCCCACAATACACAAGGTCAGTAGGGCTGATGCCAGGGAGCTCTGGAATGAGCTGAAGGGGCCACACAGCAGGAACAGGGAGCCCTGCCAGGAGGCCCTGCCACAGTCCAGGTGGCAGGTGTTGGTGGGACAGGACTGAGGCTGTGGAGAAGGGAAGAGGTCGGGATTTTGAAGGTAGAGCTGACAGGATTTGCTTACAGATTGGATATAATTGTGCAAGAAAGAAGGAATCAAGAATGAATCCAGGGCTAGGTGTGGTGGGGCACATCTATAATCCCAGCTGCTTGAGAGACTGAGGCAGGAAAATCACAAATTCAAGGCTGGACTCAACAACTTGTTGAGAGCCTGTCTCAAAAAATAAAAAGGGCTGTTGAAGCTGGGGTTGTGGCTCAGCAGGAGAGCGCTCGCCTAGCGCTTGCAAGGCACTGGGTTCAATCCTCAAGGCCACATAAAAATAAATAAATAAAAATAAAGTTATTAAAAATAAAAAGGACTATAGGTGTGTATTAGTGCTGAAGCACCCAGTGTTCAGTTCCTGGTACCAAAACAAACAGTAAAACTCTAGGTTGTGAGCCTGACCAGATGAATGAAGTAGGAGGTGGCTGGGACAGGGGCAGGTTGGGGAAAACAGTTGCTTAGCTGTGATCATCTGTGTTTTAGGGACCTTCCAAACATCCAAATGGGCATGTCAGGCAGGCAGTGGATATTCTGCTCCAGACCTGGGGGAGGCAGGCAGGCTAGAGAGGGGCTTCTGGGAGTTGCCAGTTGTCTGATCTCTTCCCCATCACTCTCTTCCCCTTGCTGGTACCTGCCCTTCCAGTGTCTGGGTTCAGGGAGGCAGGACCAGACCTGCTGACCCCCTCTCTGCCCTGTGCAGGTGGACTATGTGGAGCCCAGCCAGAACACCATCTCTTTGAAAATGATCCCACGCATTGACTATGACCGCATCAAGGCCCGCATGAGCTTGGTACCGTGGGGTGTGCTGCCTGGTGAGGGGACACTTGATCTTGCTGGTGGCCAGCTCTTCCCTCCTCATCTTTCCACCCATTGTCCTTTTCTCTGCAGAAAGACTGGTTTGCCAAAAGGAAGAAGTTCAAGCGGCCTCCACAGAGGCTCTTTGATGCTGAGAAGATCAGGTGAGAGTGTGCGTGGGCTTGGGGCAGGAGGGTGGGGTCCCTGTGACTGTGGTGCAGTGTGACTTTGCAGGCTGCTCTGCCAAGCTGGGCCCCCATAAGGGTAGTTGTAGGTGGTGAGCTGGGCAGACAACCTCGGGCACACTACTTTACACTCCTGTGCTTCAGTTTCCTTTGCTTCAAAGATTGATTATAGCTGGGCATGCTGACTCATGCCTGTCACAATGACTCAGAAGGCTGAAGCCAGAGTATTACAAGTTCAAGACCAGCCCCTGCAACTTAGTGAGAATTTGTCTCAAAATAAAATAAAAAAGAGAAAGGGGGCTGGGGATACAGCTCAGTTGGTAGAGTGCTTGCCTCACATGCACAAGGCCCTGGGTTCGATCCCAGCACCACAAAAACAAGCAAACAAAGCAAAAAGAAAAAGCAGGAGATATGGCTAAGTGGTGGACACCCCTGGGTTCAGTCCACAGCATCCCTCCCCCAAAAAACAGATTGATAATGATGGTTCAAGATGGTAATGACCTGGCTTCTCTAGATTACAGTGAGAATCAAACTGATATGCATGTGTGCCCAGAACAGCACTCTGCAGGTAGTGAGAATGTTAATGGTATCACATGTTAAAATGGGGTTTACAGATCATGTTAGACTCCATTAAAAAGTCTCCACCCCTGATCTCCTGGCCACCTGCAGTGGGGGTGCAATGACTCCCATCCTCCCCAGTGAAGGGGCAAGTTGGAGCAGCCTGGGCTGCCAGCATGTGGGCCTAGTGGTCTCCACGAGGGCAGGGCTAGAAAGGAGCGAAGAGGTGCCAGAGGCACCAGTGCCGCCCTGTGCTCTGGTCCTGTTCTGGAACTGCCTGCCTGTGAGTCAGCTGGGCAGATTCCTCTTCTGTTTTGGGGCTGGAGATGGAAGCCAGGCCTCCAGGCAGAGCCCCACCAGGCAGGTTCTCTTTTCCGTTCAGGCTGCGCTGTAGAAGGTGCCTTTGAGTCTGTAGCCAAAGGCCTTGCATACTTCCTGTCTGAATTAGCTCCATCCAGCTGGCACTCTCCCGCAAGGCAGAGAGCAGACCATAGTGACCCTGCCCCCACAGAAGGCTGATAGGGTTCCCTGACACGACCAGCAGAGCGTGCTGTTCCCCACACCTGACTTGTAGAGAAGATGGTTGGGGGAATGGCAGTAGGGACCTGGCCTGTTCCTCTTGTGCTTTTCCATTTTGGACAGTGGCAGCCATTATCCTTCCCCTTCTGGGAGCCAGGAATGGAACGAGGTACCTGTACTGTGCGTGCTGGGCAAGGGGCACAGATGGCCCAGGGGCTGGATAGTTCAGGAACAAGCCTGGAGTCCCACTTGCCTGTGTTTGAATCCTGACCCTCAAAATTGCTGGTTTGGCTACCTTGAGCTTGTGGTGTGACCTCTCTAAGCCTGTCCCCTCACCAGGAACATGAGCACAAATCCATTGTCACAGGGCTTAGGGGACTTTAGTGAGGCTGTGGCTGTGTAGGCTAGGCCATGCTGACTGCACCATAAATCCTGTCATCAGTGTCTGACATTAATGCCTTGTTGAGCCACTCTTTACTGAGCACCTACTACGCAACAGGCACTATTTAGGGGAGGTCAGTAAAGAAGGAGTCAGCATTGCTAGTTAGGAATCAGAGCAAACAGTAGCTCTTCAAGTGGTGATGCTTGTGCTGGTAAGAAATAAATAAATAAATAAGTAAGTAAATAAGAGGGAGATGGGGCACAGGGGTCCAGGGCAGTCCTGCCTAGAGGGTATTTGCTGGAAGCTGGGCAGGCATTCCTGTTGTCCTCTCCCTTTGCTATCTGAGGAGACTGAGGCACAACAAGGTCCTCTTCATGACCCCTTTTGCTGTCTGCTCCCAACAAAATACCAGGTCCCTGGGGGGTGACGTTGCCTCCGATGGTGACTTCCTCATCTTCGAGGGGAACCGGTACAGCCGAAAGGGGTTTCTGTTCAAAAGCTTCGCCATGTCAGCTGTGGTATGTTCCATGTTTCTGTCCTGAGGTGTGAGGGGGGACAGTGTCACACACACATGCCTGGCAGGGCAGTGCTCATGGGGTGGGGGAGTTCCTCCCTCTGCGCCCTGGCCCACGGGCAGCAGGTTGTCTGGGTCTGTCCTGGGGAGTGGCTCTCAGCTGGGCCTTGCACTAACCTCTGCCCTCCTGCCCCGGGCTTAGATCACAGAGGGTGTGAAGCCCACCCTGTCTGAGCTGGAGAAGTTCGAGGACCAGCCAGAGGGCATCGACCTGGAGGTGGTGACAGAAAGCACAGGTATCTGGGGGCGGGGTCTGAAGGTCTGTTCAGAGGGCTTTGTGTATTTGGGGACAAGCTGTGTTCAGGGCCCTGGGGTGGCTGCTCATTCAGCCATGTGGCTGTCCCCGCAGGGAAGGAGCGGGAGCACAACTTCCAGCCCGGGGACAATGTGGAGGTGTGTGAAGGCGAGCTCATCAACCTGCAAGGCAAGGTCCTCAGCGTGGACGGCAACAAAATCACCATCATGCCCAAGCACGAGGACCTCAAGGTGGGCGTGCACAGGGTGCTGGCTGGACCTGGGTCCAGGAGGCGGGCGAAGCTTTGGGAGCCTGCCTGCCTGCCTGCACGTGGGTGACCAGGCTGGGGTGTGCCCGGCTTCACCTCCATCTTCAAGGCCACGTCTAGGCCTTCCAGTTCCCAGTGAGAGGCTGTGCCGAGGGGGTAACATGCGTGCACCTCTGGCCAGGCCAGGCTGGGGTGTGTGCAGGGCCCGCTGTTGTGATTTGGGGGAAGAGATATCTGGTTACAGTTCTGGGGCCTGGTGTGTAGGTTCTGTCTGTTCTCAGGGAGCTCCTGGGTGACTTTGGTGACTGGGCTGTGGATATACAGCATTTATGTTCCATGTTTCTGTCCTGAGGTGTGAGAGGGGACAGTGCCACACGCACACATGCCTGCTGGAATTCCAGGAGAGATGTTCATCCAAGAAACATCCCTGAGGCGTGGCTAGGTGTTAGGTGGCATGGTTTAGGTCGGTCACAGGTGTATATTGGTGATGGCGTGGTCAACCAGGGAGCCGCTGAGGGCAGGAGCCTGGTGTTCGTGGTCTAGAGGTGTATCTGAGGACTGTTGGATGTCACATGGTGGCGAAGGCTGGTGCAAGCCAGTGTGGGGTGTCTGAGGTGTGGCTCTCTGGGGGCGGGGCCTGAAGGTCTGTTCAGGGGCTTTGTGTGTTGGGGGATGAGCTGTGTTTGTGGTGCCCTGCAGATGTCTTGTGTCTTGAGGGCTGACTGTCTTTGGGGTGAAGCATTGTCTAGGTCCAGGTCCTATCTGAGGGCCTGCTATCTCCAGGGCCATCAGGTGGCCTCAGGTGGTGGGCAAGCCTAGAGTGGGTTTTGGTGTTGGCCTCTTCCTGGAACGTGAGGGGTTCTGAAGGCAAGAGGGGCAGGCAAGCTGTGGTGGTCCCTCTCACCCGCTCGCTTCCCTCACACCCAATCCCCCAGGACATGCTCGAGTTCCCTGCCCAGGAACTTCGGAAGTACTTCAAGATGGGGGACCATGTGAAGGTGATCGCTGGCCGATTTGAGGGCGACACAGGCCTCATTGTGCGGGTGGAGGAGAACTTCATCATTCTCTTCTCTGACCTCACCATGCATGAGGTAGGTATGTGGATGGGCGTGTCGAGGAGACCAAGGGACAGTTTACTGAGAGCCACCTCACCCCGTACCTTTTCCCGGCAGCTGAAGGTGCTCCCCCGGGACCTGCAGCTGTGCTCCGAGACAGCCTCAGGTGTGGACGTGGGGGGCCAGCATGAATGGGGTGAGCTGGTGCAACTGGACCCCCGGACCGTAGGTGTCATCGTGCGACTAGAGCGGGAGACCTTTCAGGTATGTGCCACACCCAGTGGTGGGGGCTTACTTTTAGAGACTTCCTCTCCCACAACCCCCTCATCTTGCCAGAGCTGAGTTGCAGACGTGGCTCTGTCACTTGAGTCTGGCTGTGTGACACTTAATCAGCAAGTGGCAAGTCATTTACCCTCCCTGTGCCTCGATTTCACTGCCAGTAAGATAACAGCTGCATCTGCTTCACTGGCCACGAACGACTCCCTGACGTCAGATATGTACCCTGGAACTGGTGCTATCAAGGACAGGGTGATCTCTCGCTCTTCCCCATTGTCCTGGATGTGCGAGTCAGAGCACAGCGCTCAGGACCTGCACTGTGGGTCGTTGCTTCTGTGCTGGATGACCCGAGACAATCACCCCTTCTGCGCTCACCTCCCCCACCGTAGACAGCACCCCCTCAGAGGGAAGTGTTTGTGGAGAGTCTGACCTGGGCTTGGCGCAGAGGAATGGGTCAACAGTGTTCCGTCCTGTCCATCTCAGGTCCCTGAGGCTCAGCCAGGAGGCACAGTATCTTCCCAAAGAGTGTTTTGGAGCAGTTGAGCTCGTTTTGGGATGGCTCAGTGCCTGGAGGGTGATGCTCTGACTTTGCCTGCCCCACAGGACAGTCTCCCACAAGGAGGGCACACTGCTCCACCTCACCCTGACCTCTCAGCCTCTTGGCACCTCTTCCTTTGTAGGTGCTGAACATGTATGGGAAGGTGGTGACTGTCAGGCACCAGGCTGTGACTCAGAAGAAGGACAAACGCTTCGCTGTGGCCCTGGATTCTGAACAGAACAACATCCATGTGAAAGACATCGTCAAGGTCATTGACGGACCCCACTCAGTGAGTATAAGCTCCTGCTTCCATCGGAATCTGAAAGTTGTAGTAGGATGGGGCATGGCCCAAGAGTGACTCTTCTCTCCCCTGCCTAGGACCGAGAGGGCGAGATCCGTCATCTGTACCACAGCTTTGCCTTCCTCCATTGCAAAAAGCTGGTGGAGAATGGAGGCATGTTTGTCTGCAAGACCCGCCACCTGGTGCTGGCTGGGGGTTTGAAGGTGAGGTGGGCATGGCGGGACTCTGTGTATTGGGTCCCCGGCTCAGCTCTACAGCCTTCCTTGGGCCCAAGAGTAGCAAGATTGGGCTTATTGGGGGGGAACGGTTTGGAGAGCAATTGTCATTGTCAAGTCCTTGGAAAAGCACAAGATAAGTTTCCTTGGGATTCTGAGTTGCTCACCCAGTCACTCCATCCATCCAGTTTTATTGAGCCACCACTTTTGGACGCCAGACACTGCAGACACTGCAGACAGAAGTCACTACTTTCCTAGAGCTGATTCTTAGATGCCCAAATGATACAGCGGGCAGCCACGGCAGCCATGCCGAGGAGTGGAACTGGGTGGGAAGACAGAATCACAGGGGCTGCCACTTTAGGTAGAGGAGGAGACAAAAAAACGAAGAATGGAGAGCCATGTGAACTTGGTGTGGGGAGGTCGCAGCTGCAAAGGCCCTGAGGTGGGACTTGTACATAATCACGTATAAAAAAGAAACTCTGGTCTGGGTACCAGGGACCAGGAGGTGACCTCAGGGCTCTGCAAGATGAGAGGATGAATTCTTTTGGCTTTTAGTTTTTGTGTTATTAGGGACTTAAGTTTTTGACTAGCCACATTTCAGTTTCACTCCTTGGCCAAGGGAAGCCCAGTCATCTGGATCTGCCACAACGGCAGAGGGGTGGCAGTTCCGCCAAAGGGAAATAGGGGCGTTATCTCCAGAAAGAGGAGGGAGGGCTGCTGGGCAGGTCAGACAGGAACTGTCCATGTGGAGAAGGTCGGTGTGGTGTGGAGGGCTGGAGACCGTCGCCCAGGCCCTGCAGTTCACTCCTTGCCCCTCCCCTAGCCCCGAGATGTGACCAACCTCACTGTGGGCGGCTTTGTCCCTATGAGCCCCCGGATCAGCAGTCCCATGCACCCCAGTGCTGGAGGTGAGGGGGGTCAGAGGCCAGGGGTGTGTCTGGAGGAGGGAGGGTGTGGAGGGGAACCTTGGCTACTCAGCTCAAGCTACTCATTGCTCAGGGGTCAGGGGTGGACACAGGATGCTCCTAACCCAATGTGTCAAGCAGACATGTTGGAGGGGAGGGCGCGGTCCTAGGGGACTGGTGACATTCTTCTCCCTCCCAGGTCAACATGGAGGCTTCGGTAGCCCAGGTGGAGGTGGTGGCGGCATGAGCAGGGGCCGAGGGAGGAGAGACAATGAGCTCATTGGCCAGACAGTGCGCATCTCCCAGGGACCCTACAAAGGTGACCTGCAAGGCCATGTGGAGGCCTGGTGGGACCAGGTGGGGCCAGGTGGGGAAGCCCAGGTCTGACCTCCTGTTCCCCACAGGTTACATTGGTGTGGTGAAGGATGCCACCGAGTCCACAGCCCGTGTGGAGCTGCACTCCACCTGCCAGACCATCTCGGTGGATCGCCAGCGTCTCACCACGGTGTACGGCTGGGCCAGGGGAGGGCCAGTGGCGGGTGAGGGGCGGTGCGAAGGCCCCACTGACACACTGTTCTGTCCACAGCGGCTCTCGGCGTCCTGGTGGCATGACCACAACTTACGGGAGGACGCCCATGTACGGCTCCCAGACACCCATGTATGGCTCTGGCTCCCGCACACCCATGTATGGCTCGCAGACACCTCTCCAGGACGGTGAGTACGGCCAGGGTGTATTTGGGGGGGTGCTGGGGGGGCGGGATAGGACATAATGGTGGGCATGCATGTCTCTCACGTTACAGGCAGCCGCACTCCACATTATGGCTCACAGACACCCCTACATGATGGCAGCCGCACTCCTGCCCAGAGTGGGGCATGGGACCCCAACAACCCCAACACACCATCACGGTAAGGGCCAGGTTCTGAGGCATGGGGTGCAGGGGCTTGGGCATGTGAATGGGTATGTTGTGGCATCCAGGGGCAGAAGGCTCTGGGGGGTGTACCTGAAGGCCCAGGCAGGAATAGCTGTGGCTGGGAATGGGGCCATCCAGCCACTGTGGATAGCCACTGCCATGATGCCAGGGCAGGTGGCCCCCATCTGCTCATGGTCTGTGCTGTGGAATGGCATGTGTTGCCATCCAATAGCATCTGCCACCTTACCATCCCCAGTTCTCAGCTGACTTCTGTCCCCAACAGGGCTGAAGAAGAGTATGAGTACGCCTTCGACGATGAGCCTACTCCGTCTCCACAGGCCTATGGGGGGACCCCCAACCCCCAAACACCTGGCTATCCAGATCCTTCCTCCCCCCAGGTCAACCCACAGTATAACCCACAGACTCCAGGGACGCCAGCCATGTGAGTGCCCTGGGCTAGCCCTGATCACGGCTGCACACATCCTCCCACTGCCTCACCCCCTGTGCCTTCCCTGCTGAACAAATGTCCTTTCTTTCCTGTGTCTTCAGGTACAACACAGACCAGTTCTCCCCCTATGCCGCCCCCTCCCCTCAAGGCTCCTACCAGCCCAGCCCCAGTCCTCAGAGCTACCACCAGGTGGCACCAAGCCCAGCAGGCTACCAAAACACCCATTCGCCAGCCAGCTACCACCCCACACCCTCGCCCATGGCCTATCAGGTACTGGTCACCTTGGATGCCCTGCAGAGCAGTGGGCTAGAATGGACTGTGGCCTACGGCCAGGCCAAGTGACTGTTCCAGTGACACTATCCTCTGTTCCCCTGTAGGCAAGCCCCAGCCCTAGCCCAGTTGGCTATAGTCCGATGACACCTGGAGCTCCCTCCCCTGGTGGCTACAACCCGCACACACCTGGCTCAGGCATTGAGCAGAACTCCAGCGACTGGGTAACCACTGACATCCAGGTGAAGGTGCGGGACACCTACCTGGACACACAGGTGGTGGGTCAGACAGGAGTCATCCGTAGTGTCACGGTGAGTGGGAAACAGGCATGGTATGGTGATTGGTCAGCAAGCATCCTCTCCCTGGGTGCCCCCAGTTTTCATGTATGGGCTCGGGTCTGTGGTTTGAACTGATTCTCCATGTTGCAATGTCAGGGAGGGAGTGGAGGTAGTGAGACTGGGGTCTTGGAGCCCTGAGGAGTTGGGGGCGTCAGGTTGCTCTGTGGCAGTGCCATGGGGAAGGGAGGAGGAACAGAGGTGGGAGAGGAGACCCTCTGGAGGCTGAACGGACAGACCTCAGAGCTGGACCACTGTTGGTGACAAAGATGAGGTCCAGAGCTTACCGGGGCTGTGGGGCCATCCGACACCAGGACCCAGGATGGGGGGCAGGTAGAAAGAAGCGAAGGCCATTCGAGGACATGAAGAGTCAGGTGCCTGAGAAGTAGTCCCCGTTTGGCCCAAGTTAGCTTCATCCTGGGGCTTCCCTTGCTGGCTTGGTCACTCTCCCACCTTCCCTGCCACCATGCATCACTGGCTCCAGCCTTGGAATCAGGCATAGCTGTGGCCCTCCTTGCTCGCTTATCACATGGGGATTGAGTTTTCAGAATGAGCCTGTAGCCTGTGTCCCTTGGAGAGTGGGAACAGGACAGGTTGACCAGGTTGTGCCTACCCTGCAGGGAGGCATGTGCTCTGTGTACCTGAAGGATAGTGAGAAGGTCGTCAGCATTTCCAGTGAGCACCTGGAACCCATCACCCCCACCAAGAACAACAAGGTAGGTCAGGGGACGGGGCCAAGGGGTGTCAGGCTGCTGACATGGGGCACTGATTCTACGTCCCCCACTTCAGGTAAAGGTGATCCTGGGTGAGGATCGGGAGGCCACCGGAGTCCTGCTGAGCATCGATGGTGAGGATGGCATCGTCCGCATGGACCTTGATGAGCAGCTCAAGATCCTCAACCTCCGCTTCCTGGGGAAGCTGCTGGAGGCCTAAGTCAGGAGGAGAAGTAGAATTCAGAAGATGACCTGGCAGAAGAAGAGGACCAGGACCCTCCTTCCTTCCCTGGCCCTTGAACCTGACACAGAATCCTGGGCTTGGAGTAGGGCTACGCTGATCATTTTGGAGTTTCTTTATCTTCTTTTCTGGGTTGCCACCTTCTTCCTCCCTGATGCTCATAGGAATCAGAGTAGAATCTAGGGAAGGATCCCCCACTTCTAACACCCCGCTGCCCCCAGCTTGCTTTTGTGTTTATGGTCTTTCAATAAAAAGAAGACGTTTGGTCAGAGCTGTGTGTGTGTGTGTGTGTGTGTGTGTGTGTGTGTGTGTGTGTGGTTTGTGGTGGGGTTATTTACAGAGCCCATTTACTTCTTTTTGTGCTTTGGGGTAAAGAACTGGATACTATCAAAGTTCTCCCATCTAGAAAATGAGTTTGTACCTCAGAAGGCTCATGAGAGGGGTGGATGAGAAGACATTGGAAAGGTCATTGGAACAGAGCTTGCTATGCGACTAACAAAATTACTTCTTACTCAGGCATGAATTCTACTAAGTGAAAATCACAGTCAACCCCCGCCCTACAGGGGTTGGGGCTGTAGCCCAGTGGTAGAGCGCTTGCCTGGCATATAGGAGGCACTGGGTTCGTTCCTTATCACCACATAAAAATAAACAAGTAAAATAAAGGCATGATGAATAACTACAAAAAAACAAGCCCTACAACCTAAATGTCGCCTAGCAGCACACTTGATGGTCCTTTATCTTGAGTTCCAAGAGCAGTAACACCAGAATTACTGGAGCTTGTGATAACTTGGAGACAGGAGTGGGAGCAATGTTAAGAATGGGGCTTTGGGGGCTGGGTAGCTCAGTGGTGGAGTGCTTGCCTCTTACATGTGAGGCACTGGGTTCAATCCTCAGCACGGTATAAGGTATTGTGTCTGTCTATAACTAAAAAAAAATAAAAAAGAATGGGGCTTTGTATCTTGAACTTCCTGTTCCTCGTTTGATATTACATCGTTAATATCTTCTTGGGGGGAGGGGTTTACTGGGAATGGAACCCAGAAGTGCTTAACCACTGAGCCATATTCCCGGCCCTTTTTATTTTTTAAGACAAGAGTCTCACTAAGGAGCACAGAGCCTTGGCAAATTGCTGAGGCTGGCCTCAAACTTGTGATCTTCCCTTCTCAGCCTCCCAAGCCACTGGGATTATAGGCATGCATCACCACGCCCGACCAATATTAACACTTCTAAAAATATGACAGTATTATAAAATACTTCAGATATTTAAAAAGATACCGCTGGGCAGGGTGGCATATGCCTGTAATCCCAGTGGTTTGGAAAGCTGAGGCAGGAGGATCTCCGTTTCAAAGCCAGTCTTAGCAACTTAGGCTGCAAGAGATCTAGTGAGACCCTGTCTCAGAATTTTTTAAAAAGCTGGGGATGTGGCTCAGTGGTTAAGCGCCCTTAGGTTCAATTCCTGGTACCTAAAATAAGTAAATAACCACGAAGACCCATGTCCCCACTTCCCAGCTTAGGAAACAATAGGTACCAGAGAGAGAACCAGTTTTGGCAGCAGCCCCAATCCATCCCCTTCAGCAGTAACCCCACCCTGGATTCCGTTTCTTTACCTTGCCGGGCTTCTGCTACATTAGTATTTTTGGTTTTTATATATAAGTTATCAGAGCCCACACACACTGAAAACGATTTGGCAAACATTCACGGCTTTTGCAAACTCAAAATTCGTTGATTTCTCGCTATTAAGGGCCCTCTCCAGCCACGCATGGCGCTGTGCTGCCTCTCCTGTCCCTTTATAAGAATTCATGGTAGGAGGGGCAAGAAGAGCTCTGAGTATGGGAAAGAAGGCAGATTCCATCTCAGCTCAGGGCTGGCTTTTCAGATGTCCTCCAAGTCTGTTTTCACTTCTGAAAATTGAGAGGTGAAGATAAAGACCTCCCTTAGGGGAGACAGCTATTATGGGTTCTTTTTTTTTTTTTAACCTTTTACTTATTTTTGTGAGGTGCTGAGTGAGGATCGAACCCAGTGCCTCATGCATGCTAGGCAAACGCTCTAGCGCTGACCTACAGCCCCAGCCCTAGCCTTAGCTTTACCTCCAAGCAATAGGCTTATCCTCGCCCCTGCCTCGTCCAGTTGCTGAACTGGTGTTCCCTAAGGATTGAGGGGGGCGTGGTGCCAGCTGACGGTACTCCAGTTGGTGTGCCTGGGAGACAGCTAATAAAGAAATCTAAGGCGATAACACCTGCGGCAATCCGCCAGGAGCTTCTTGTCTCTCTCAGGCACCCGTCCACCCACCTCTTCTCTGCGTCCTCATTGGCGGCAGCTTGCGCCCGGGGCGGGAGAAGAGGGAGCGAGTGGGCGGGGCCTCGTGGCGTCAGCGCAAGATGGCGGCCTCGGCGGCGCTGTTCTCGCGCTTGCGGAGCGGGCTCGGGCTCGGCGCGCGGGGGCTGTGCACGAGGCTGGCGACGCCGCCCCCCCGAGCCCCAGACCAGGTGAGCTGAGTGAGATTGGGCCCTGGGTGCCCGGGCTCCTCCATGAAATTTCGGGCGTATAGCTGCCGGGCAGGGGTTCTGGGATGCTGCACCTCAGGGTGCTGAATGGAAATCCGCCTGCGTTTGAGGGGTGTTTCCCTGCCTGCCAGGGGCACATTTGCTTCCTGGGATGGATATTGGGGCCCCAAGGGCATCCTCTGGATCACACCTCCCACCCACGTGGGCGGCCAAAGAGGTCACCTCTTTCCCTGTGTCAGTGAACACTCAGGTGATAACACGACGGGGAGGGACCCGGGACGCTGGGGTTCCAGCCTGGCCTTGCGGGTATTTTCTTGGAGTTGTTAGTGGTAGTGAAGTAGATGTCCGGGCTTCGGATTCGACCTTCTTCCATGTGGACAGATCCCAACCATTCTGACCTCCAGTTCATTACTTCCGTTACCTTTTTTTCCCCAAGTCCCATACAAGTTGCTCTTCCCTGCCCCCACTCCTGTCCTTTTTTTTCTAGACCCTGCTACCTTGAGCCGTAGGAATCCGGATGTTTTAACTCTCAGTCTTGTCCCGTGTGCCTTCTGTCCCCCAACTTCAGGCACCCCAAATTTGGGCGACCTGATCCCTTAGTCTCCCTGACTGACTTTGCTGGGCTCCAGACCCTCCAGTCCTCTTACCTCCAGGGTCCTGGGTAAACTGGCCTGTCAGTTCTTAAATTCCTGGATTCGTTGCCCTGTACAGTCTAGTTTAGACTCTCTGAAGGGGGTCCTCTCAGTTGCCCCTCCAAGAATACAATGCTGGGGGTTATGTGGGTGTCTGCTTCTTGACTTCTGATTTTGATTCTACTTGAACTAGAGTAGAGGTCAAAGTATCCTGACCTTGTCTCTCTCCTCTCTTAGCTAACCACCTTCCTCCACTCCTCCCCCAATCTGCAGGCTGCAGAGATTGGAAGCCATGGGAGCACTAAAGCCCAGGGGCCACAGCAGCAGCCAGGCTCAGAAGGTCCCAGCTATGCCAAAAAAGTTGCACTTTGGCTTGCTGGTTTGCTTGGAGCTGGTGGGACTGTGAGCATCATCTATATTTTCGGTGAGGGACATGCCCCTGCCCGCCAATTTTGTTCTGCTGGCTTCCTGAATTCTACTGTGGAACCTTCCCCTCTTTCCCTGTAGTGGCTTCACTGATCTTCATTCTCTGACCCTTCAATAGGGCTGCCAACTAGGACACCTATTTTGAAAACTAGAGAATCCTTTCTTCTTTCTCCCTCTTCTGTCTCTCGAGCTGGTTCCTGTATCAGGCTACGGGAACCAATTGGAAGAAGGGAATATGGAGGAGGATAGCCTGGACCAGCCTTCTAAGCTGTGTCTTCCCTCAACACCCAAAAGTCCATCCCAGTCCCCTCCTCCCTTGAATCTAGGAGGCCATACCTCTAGCCCTCTCTCTCAGACCCAGGAGTCCAAGCCCCTGACATACCCTCTACCCTCAAGAGCCAGGAGATGGGGTCCCCATGTCATTGATTGTCTCCCTTGCAGGAAACAACCCTGTGGATGAAAACGGTGCCAAGGTGAGGGGGAAACAAGGCCTTGCCGGAGTCCTTCCTTTGTGAGGGTGGGTTCCCTTTGGTCTACTCAGGCTTGTCTCTGGCCTGGAGTGATCCTCTCCCTCCCAAGGACCTTCTACTCCTCTCAGAGGTCTTGGAGAACCTTTTATAAGTATGTTGGGGTCCTGCCTGTTCCTTCCCAAACTTTCCATTTTTCTCTCCACCTCCCAGATTCCTGATGAGTTCGACAATGGTAAGTCAACAAGCACAGATTCTGGGGTCCCCTGGCCCTCTTAACTGTGCCACTTAGGCACAGGAGCCCTCCCCATCTGGTGCTCCCAGCCCCTCCTCCTTCCATTGGGGGGACAGCAGCTGGATGGCTTGGGGGAGGGGCATTACAAAGCTCCAGCCCCCTTTCCTGGCCCCTCAACCCAGGAGCAGATGGCGAGGACAGATGGGGGAGGGGAACCTGGGTGGGAGGGCTTGGGGAGACAGGGCAGTCTATCCCCAGACACATGGCTTCCTGTGCCTTAGATCTGAGCATCTGCAGCCCCTAACCCCCTCCTCTTTATGACAGCCTTTTTTTTCCCCCTAAGCTCCTACCCCACCAGGCTCCTCATTTTCAAAACAATGCCTCCCTCCCTCCCCCTCTCATTAACCAGCTTTTGATGGGGAGCTTCTGACAAATTGGATAGTAGTTGTCAATTCTGTCACACCTGGCTCTTCCCAAGAGAAAAGTAAAATTGGTGGATCCAGAAAGCCACCTGTTTTGTGCTGGGGAGTTTGTTATACTGATTATTGCAGCGAGGCATTGGGGTGAGTATGTTTTAACTGGGCAGATATAAAATTATAGTGGCTTCAACAAATCAATATGCTGATTTAAATTGGGCAGGTAGAGACGTAGGTTTAAAATGTGCATATTAACTGGTTTTAATATTGTGGTTTTTCAGAGTGGCGCATAGGTAGAACTGGACTGAAAATACTGCCCTCCAGCAGGCACTCCTGGAAGCTCTCGGTTTCAGCTGAAGCCAGTGTACTCGTTTAAACCAGGGTTTTTCACCTTCAGCCCTATTAACAGTTTGAACTAGATCATTCTTTACTGTGGGGGGACTGTCTTGTGCACATAGGATGTTTAGCAGCACCCAGGATAATTATATTTACGTACTAGGTGCTAGAATCATGGCAATCAAAACTGTCCCCATGGGCTGGGGTGCAGCTTAGTGGTAGAGCCCATGCTTAGCATGGGTGAGATCCTGGGTTCAG